TCTTTATGTGGGAGGAAACCAGAGTGCCTGGAGTGGTCTGGCAGGTGACCACATATACCTTTTGACATGTGATCGGGCATACATGTTTCACAGCGTATTTTGAATATGAAACAATTTCATTGTGGTTTAACTGATGGAGATATTCTGAACTATGATGCCTAAATACCTTAAGGTTTGGTGAAATTATTGAAAAACATTATTTATGTTAAAACTGAACCAATTCAAGTCTTACGCCTTTTATGTATTGTACACTTAACATTATTATAATTCATGAGTGAAAGTGGGATTTGATTTTTAAACCAAAAATAAATGATTTATCAAGATCAGGTAAATATTATAGCTTATTGTTTGTAATCAGTGCAATGATATCAAAATACTATTAACATTAAAGTGTTATTTTCAATCATAAAGATGGATGGATTTCTTAGAAATTCGGGGAAACATCCTTTACAGTTGTATTGAACTGTTTAATATGGATAATTAAACCCTAGATTGGTAGTGACCTCATGATCTGAATTTCATGATCTGAATTAAGTATTCCTAGTATTTGTGGTGTTAAATTGAAGTATCGGTATCATATTATACAAACACTATTCCTGGAAGAGGTTAACATCACCTAAAGGCTTCAGCTACTATCAATGATTTTATCTGATTTGATGAGGGATTAGATATATAAGCATCACCGTAACAGGTCCCATTGTGTTCATAGCCCTTATAAGGAATGAAACAATGTTCATAGCCCTTATAATGAATGAACCAATGTTCATAGCCCTTATGAGGAATGAACCAATGTTCATAGCCCTTATAAGGAATGAAACAATGTTCATAGCTAGTATGTGAATACAATCTTTTAAAGTGTTGCAACAGTGTTCATAGCTGTCTTAAAGTGTTTTTACAGGGACTTGCAGTTGAATGAATGTATTTTATTTCATTTGGAATGTCCTGAACCTCTTTGACACTAGATCACCAAGGGCTAGCCAATTTTGTTTCTATATAAGTTTTATTAAGAGAAGATTGGAAGAAAATGTAATAAACGTGGGTTTGTATTGGTCCAATCACAACACAGCACTGTCAGCAATGTCATCTTGTTTACTGTCGACTGGTCACCGATATAATCTGTAAGTATAAGTGAGACCCACCATTAATTGTGTACTGCTGGGTTGTCTCCCTTGTTTACTGTCGACTGGTCACCAATATAATCTGGAAGTATTAGTGAGACCCACCATTAATTGTGTACTGCTGGGTTGTCTCCCTTGTTTACTGTCGACTAGTCACCAATATAATCTGGAAGTATTAGTGAGACCCACCATTAATTGGGTACTGCTGGATTGTCTCCCTTGTTTACTGTCGACTGGTCACCAATATAATCTGTAAGTATTAGTGAGACCCACCATTGTCTCACTTGCTGCTGTAGCCTCTATATTTAACCTTAGCACAGTTTGTTGTCTGCACGGGCAGTGTTTAATTCTAGACCCTGGTTTAGTGTCTTGTATGATGAAAGTAAACATTAAGCCATCATTAATCTATGACATACACACTGTTTTGTAAAAGATGTGCATTGATAAGGTTGCCTGACAAGCATCAGCTGTTAAGATTTCCCTTTAGCTCAGCGGTGGAGCATCAGGCTGGAGAGCCAAGGGTCGTGGGTTCGAGTCCCAGCGCCGGCACTATCTTTTTCACTATTCCTCGTCCTATTACAGTATGAGCTAAACACTTACATGGATATGCTGACTGTTTGATCTATTAAACACCATTACATGATGTGTACTGTATCCCACAATAAACCCATGCCTGATAATAAGCCCATTCAGATATATTACAGTTCAGTACAAACGCAAACAAATGCTATATCATTATTCTGTTATGAGCCCATCCCAATACTTTGAGTGAGAGATTATGTATTGCCCCCATGCCCTACCCCCGGGGCTCATTGCAGAATATTTATGGTACCCTATATGAAACAGAAAAGAGAATAGAGTGCTTCCACTGGGGATCGAACCCTCGATCTCCAGGTTCCTAGTCGGACCCTCTACCACTGAGCTAAAGGGAAATTCCCTCTAGCTCGAAGCTAGAAGGCGACCGTAATCCTAAGTCCAATTAAAACCTGCCACATGACGTAACAGTTTACATTATTTAATTGTGAGCTATGAATCTCAATATAGGATATATTTCAAATTCAGCTATCTAATCTGAGACATTATGTATTTATCTAGATTTTAATACATCTCACTCAATCAGTCTACCATTCATTTCTTATGAATAAAATTATTTTTATTCTAAACCTGATAAAAATCTTATAAAAGTATTAATGAATCAGTTTTTAAATATATCCATCCCTGAAATCCCCCTGCTACCATTGTGAGGCTGAATCGCTGTTAAGAGTGATTTCTGTTTGTGTTAATCTGAAATTGTTGATCATTCCCGTTAGGCCTAGTAACAAGTTTATCCTCAGACATGTCATCAGACACTTTTGGTTTAAACCTGATTTTAGGCAATCTGTATTAGCCATGCAGCCTTTGAAAAGTGCTGTTCAACATATTATTTCAGTATACGTGTATGCCACTTTAATCTATTGAGCTGACTGATTAACAGAAGTGCTCTGCCCAATAACAGTACAGCTATATTAGAAACAAAATTGAGGGGAGGTTACTGTGTATGAGAAAAATCACAGTAGCATTGTTTTGTGTTTTAGATTTTCCTGCAGTGGGACAGGGATCTTTAGTCAGCTATTTCCTACAGTGACATCTACTGCCACTGGCTTTGACATAATGAATACATTTATTTTGTAATATTAGAAAATTATCTGCAAAGGTATTGATTTTATGGACGTACCATACCAAAACAGATCACTGCGTATAAGGTCACTGTCGGTCTCTACTGTTGCGTGGGAATGTCTGTCGGAAATCTGTCTTTATTATTCCCAAAGTACCTACACTTGCGTACACAAAAGCTAAAAATAGAATTGCCAATTCACTCGCGCGCCACAGTAAGCATCGACTGCTCTTGTGAGTAAACAGTGATGCTGTGATGTATAACACACCAAGTGAAGTAAGATATAAAATATTAATAGAGCTTATATACCGGATGCAACGTTCTATTTGTACCTATTTTTGTCTACTAATCATTATAAAGTCAGTAATGGTTTTTAAATACACTTTGTGTTTCATTGATTTTATCGCCTCATTCGTTGTGGTGTTATTTTATGGTTGTTAATGTACACATCCATACTTGGTAAAAAATGTAGTAATATGTTGTGAAGAAATTTCCAAAAGGACATGATATATATAAATGTGTGGCAGATTTTAATTGTACATAAAGATTATTGTTGCCTTCTCGCTTCATGCTTGAGGAAATTTCCCTTTAGCTCAATTGGTAGAGCGGGATACTCTGAGGCTTAAGGGGTCACAGTTTATTTCCAGGTGGAAGCACACGTACTATATATATTCTCTTTGCTGTTACACATCATGAATAAAGTCAATGTATGAGCAGTAAAAAGTGTTAATTGAAAACAGTCACTGGTTCTCAACATATATTGAAATCCATATACTTTGGAGTTACTGCATCTATTCGTAGTGTTTATATGCACAAACTTGTTTAAAAACATTTGCGTAAAACTATTCCTAAGATACAGGCGAGGGCTAGGTGTACTAAAAAGTCTGCCATTCTGATGACGGTTCTATTTATAGTTGGTTCTGAAATGAAAAGATATTTAATGGTCGGTATTCACCATTTGATTTCAAAAGTCCTGAATTGGGCTAAGTCTCAGTAGGAATAGAATTTCATTATCTCAACCTGTTTGTGCTGATATTTCTTAACATTTTCTTCATGTTGGTAAGCATGGATTATGAAAATTTTCTCGTGACACAACCAATAAGTGTTTCTATGTGACGTTTCGATGACTAGTACGATATGTACACTGGCACCTTCATCAGACAAATGTCCAGTGAAGCGTATGCACACAAAGGTGTAAAATGTATACGAGTTGTCCACAAATCGATGTCAATTCTGATACGCTGTAAGCGTATGTGCAATAGTTGTTATATATGTACCGAAATGACTCGGTTCAGCTATGCTTTCTGAAATACTTCGTTTAAACAGTATTTTATTTACAAATATGCAGTACATAATATAATATTTAAACAGAATGTAATGTTAGGGATCTGGCAACAAGTGTATAGGCTCTTATATTAAGCCATCTTCCTAGTTAAATACTTGGTCATAGATGTGCGAGAGTCTTTAAGCCCCCTCATCTCGATTTAGAACTGTTTGTGCTGTATGTCAATAAACTTGTAATACTGTTTGTGTTTTATGTATCACACTGCTGGTGATTTCTCTACCTCTGTGCTGATACTTATCTCTATTATGTTGTATTTTACAGGTTGTCTGTTTATGGAACACCTATGTCAAGTAGAAGAAGAATGTGTAGATGGTAAGTTAAATTTTATATTCCCAATGTTATTTGATTGCCAGTATCTCAGGTTTCTTTCTAAGGTCACAGTCGCTCTATATGTGCTTTCCTTAATATAAGGGCTTCAAGTTTGCTACAAGAAGTCTTTATGATTTTGATTATAAAAAAGAAATTCTTGACACAAAGTAATGTCTTTGGAGTATAAAAACATTTCTTGACACAAAGTACTGTCTTTGGAGTATAAAAGAAACTTTTGACACAAAGTACTGTCTTTGAAGTATAAAAAGAAATACTGTGGCGTCCGTCGTCCGTCCGTCGTCTGTACGTCAACAATTTCTTTGAATGACCTCTTCTTCTTAACCACTGATTGGAATTTGAGTAAATTTGACTGGAAGCATCCCTAGGTGGTGGGGATTCAAAATTGTACAAATGGTGGGGCTGACCCCCCAGAGGGCTGATGGGCAGGGCCAAAAGCAGGCAATTTGGCTATATTGCTTTAAGTGACTTCTTCTTTGGAACTAAGAGATGGATTTCAACCATATTTGACTGGAAGCATCCCTAGGTGGTGGGGATTCAAAAATGTACAAATGGTGGGGCTGACCCCCCAGGGGGCTGAGGGGCGGGGGCCAAAAGGGGGCAATTTGGCTATATTGCTGTAAGTGACTTCTTCTCTGGAACTAAGAGATGGATTTCAACCATATTTGACTGGAAGCATCCCTAGGTGGTTGGGATTCAAAAATGTACAAATGGTGGGGCTGACCCCCCAGGGGGCTGAGGGGCGGGGGCCAAAAGGGGGCAATTTGGCTATATTGCTTTAAGCGACTTTTTCTCTGGAACTAAGTGATGGATATCAACCATATTTGACTGGAAGCATCCCTAGGTGGTGGGGATTCAAAATTGTACAAAAGGTTGGGCTGACCCCGCAGAGGGCTGAGGGGCAGGGCCAAAAGCAGGTAATTTGGCTATATTGCTTTAAGTGACTTCTTCTCTGGAACTAAGAGATGGATTTCAACCATATTTTACTGGAAGTATCCCTAGGGGGTGGGGATTCAAAATTGTACAAATGGTGGAGCTGACCCCTCAGGGGGCTTAGGGGCGGGGCCAAAAGGAGGCAATTTGGCCATATTGCTATAAACGACTTCTTCTGTAGAACTGTGCCATGGATATCAACCATATTTGGTCAGAAGCATTCATGGGAGGTAGGGATTCAAGATTGTACAAATTTTGTTGCTGACCCCCCGGGCTAGGGGGTGGGGCCAAAAAAAGTTTATTACTTGGAAATGGTGGGGACTCCACCATATAACCATATATACAATTGCTGAGTATAAAGAGAAGAATGCACAGTTGCTTACAGGATGGCCCTAGGATCTGGCCCCACCCTTGGAGGCATAGTCCCTTGGTCATAACTTTGAAACGGTTGAGATCCCCTCACCAAAACTATATATACAAATGCTGGACATAAAGAAACGAATGCAGTCATGATATTAGAATAGACCCTGGGGTCTGACCAAACCCCTAGGGACCTAGTTTCTTAGTCATAGCTTGGAAACAGTTGAGATCCCCACCCAAAAACCATATATACAATTGCTGAGTATAAAGAAATGAATGCACATATGCTTCCAGGATGGTCTTGGGGTCTGCCCCAGCCTTGGAGACTTAACCCCTGGGTCATAACTTCAAAATGGTTAAGATCCCCACCCCAAAACTATATATACAATTGTTGGGCATAAAGAGACTAATGCAGTCATGATATTATAATGGATCCCAGGGTCTGCCCAACCTTTGCAGACCTAACCCCTGGGTCATAACTTCAAAATGGTTAAGATCCCCACCCCAAAACTATAAATACAAATACTGGGCAAAAAGAGACGAATGCAGTCATGATATTAGAATTGATCCTGGGGTCTGGCCACAACCTATGGACCTAGTTTCTGAGTCACAGCTTGGAAACAGTTGAGATTCGCACCCCATAACCATACATAAAATTGCTGGGCATGAGAAATTTAATACAGATATGCTACAAGGATTGGCCTTGGGGTCTGGCATATTCCCTTAGATCTCATTTTGGAGAATATTTTGCCATGATTGCTTAGATATCCAAGTGAGCGATACAGGCCCTCTAGGCCTCTTGTTCAATGAATAGAACAGCCATCGTCCGGGCAGGGTCAGTGGTCTAACGTAACAATTATCACGCCATAATAATGATGACGCCAACAATTGGTCCCTGGCATTCCTGGAAGAATTAAATGATGTTGAAAATACCCAGTTTGAATGTTTATAGTATTAAATTATCAATTTTGGATAATTTAGTTGGTTTTGTAGCAAATTAGGAAGTTTACAAATTAATTCTTAAGGGGTTGGCCTTGAAAGGCCGTAAAATTTATATAAGCGACCTTGAAAGCCTTTAGATTTACACAAATATCTTGAAAGGATCAAACTGATTTTTTTTCTGATAAAAATAAATTCAGAAAATGCAAGAATATGAAATATTCGCAACAAATTAATTTGTCAATTTTCAGACTGCAGGTTTTAGGGTTGTTTGGTGTGTATATGGTGAGTTTAGGGACATCCAGGTTACACATCCAGACCTGTGTTAGGTTTTAGGGTTGTTTGGTATGTATATGGTGAGTTTAGAGACATCCAGGTTACACATCCAGACCTGTGTTAGGTTTTAGGGTTGTTTGGTGTGTATATGGTGAGGTTAGGGACATCCAGGCTACACATCTAGACCTGTGTTTGGTTTAAGGATTGTTTGGTGTGTATATGGTGAGGTTAGGGACATCCAGGCTACACATCTAGACCTGTGTTTGGTTTTAGGGTTGTTTGGTGTGTTTATGGTGAGGTTAGGGACATCCAGGTTACACATCCAGACCTGTGTAATGTTTAAGGGTTGTTTGGTGTGTATATGGTGAGGTTAGGGACATCCAGGTTACACATCCAGAACTGTGTTTGGTTTAAGGGTTGTTTGGTATGTATATGGTGAGGTTATAGGGACATCCAGGTTACACATCCAGACCTGTGATAGGTTTTAGGGTTGTTTGGTGTGTATATGGTGAGGTTAGGGACATCCAGGCTACACATCCAGACCTGTGTTAGGTTTTAGGGTTGTTTGGTGTGGATTTGGTGAGGTTAGGGACATCCAGGTTACACATCCAGACCTGTGTTAGGTTTAAGGGTTGTTCGGTGTGTATATGGTGAGGTTAGGGACATCCAGGCTACACATCCAGACCTGTGTTAGGTTTTAGAGTGGTTTGGTGTGTATATGGTAAGTTTAGGGACATCCAGGTCACACATCCAGACCTGTGTTAGGTTTTAGGGTTGTTTGGTGCGTGTATGGTGAGGTTAGGGACATCCAGGTTACACATCCCGACCTGTGTTAGGGTTTAGGGTTGTTTGGTGTGTATATGGTGAGTTTAGGGACATCCAGGTTACACATCCAGACCTGTGTTAGGTTTAAGGGTTGTTCGGCGTGTATATGGTGAGGTTAGGGACATCCAGGCTACGCATCCAGACCTGTGTTAGGTTTTAGAGTGGTTTGGTGTGTATATGGTGAGTTTAGGGACATCCAGGTTACACATCCCGACCTGTGTTTGGTTTTAGGGTTGTTTGGTGTGTATATGGTGAGGTAAGGGACATCCAGGATACACATCCAGACCTTTGTTAGGTTTTAGGGTTGTTTGGGGTGTATATGGTGAGGTTAGGGACATCCAGGTTACACATCCCGACCTGTGTTAGGTTTTAGGGTTGTTTGGGGTGTATATGGTGAGGTTAGGGACATCCAGGCTACACATCCAGACCTGTGTTAGGTTTTAGGGTTGTTTGGTGTGTATATGGTGAGGTAAGGGACATCCAGGTTACACATCCAGACCTTTGTTAGGTTTTAGGGTTGTTTGGTGTGTATATGGTGAGGTTAGGGACATCCAGGTTACACATCCAGACCTTTGTTAGGTTTTAGGGTTGTTTGGTGTGTATATGGTGAGTTTAGGGACATCCAGGTTACACATCTAGACCTGTGTTGGGTTTTAGGGTTGTTTGGTGTGTATATGGTGAGGTTAGGGACATCCAGGCTACACATCCAGATCTATGAATTTTGAGATTGATCAACAAATGGTAGAGGTCTTTAGGCATTAGTTTTCTGAGAAAGACCATTTAAAGGTCATAAAAAGCCTTGAATTTCGTATCAAAATTCCTTATGATCCCATTGTTCCCAACCTACCATATATAGTTATATAGCCTACATTAATCTCCCAGGATATCAGATATTGGTGTAGTGTAACCCATCTGTATGGCATTATCACAATATCAGTTTCCTTTCGCCTCAACTCTTTACACTGTATGTACTCAAGCATGTGACATAAATAGTACATATCATTACATCTCCTGAACAGCAGTAACTTTTTAGGCCAGCTGAGACAAAGTCTCAAGTGACCTATTGCGATCGCCTTTTGTCCGTCGTCGTCAGTCGTGCGTCCGTAAACAATTTACATTTTCGACTTCTTCTCCAAAACCCCTGAACCAATTTCAATGAAATTTTGCAGAAAGCTTCCATGGCCAAAGGTCAACAAAAATAGTTGCACAAATTATCATGGTTTATAATGGCAAATGATACTTTGAATATTACATGTTAATAACTTGATTGGAATTATAACCCTGCGTTGACAGTTTGATACTTTGAAAATTTTGAGCCAGCCCTACCCCCATTAGGGCTGTAGGGTGGGGCCCAAAGGAGTCAGTGTGCTAAAATTTCTTCATTTTCCTTGTTTAGAATCAGATGTGCTAGTTTCAAATACTTTTTAGTCTTAAATCTACATGCTAGATATTGAAAAAGGTGGGGTTTTTTTTGTTTGTCTCTGAATGATATTTCTGTTCGTGTTAAAAACAAAATCAACTCTCTGTATAAAATATCAGGTGACCGTTAAGGCCCATGGGCCTCTTGTTATGATTTGGATTATGCACTTAATGTGATAAAAATGACAATAAACAATTCAACTACTGATCATTTGCTTGGCATAAAAGATTTT